ATTCTTTTCAGTACCGTGTAGGAGGAGACAAAAAGACGTTAGTATGCATTAAAAATGATTTTTTAAAAGATTTTTGCTCCAAATTTCTCATAAACCATGACCTGTCTGTCGGACAGCCAACCCTGCAACTTCACCTGTCCGAGCTGAATTTTTACCTGTCCCGGACAGGCGCTAATGTATTAAATAGCGTTGCATCTTTTCTGACATTTTCTCTTGCCGCATGGATACATTTATTTATAAATGATCACGACTGCTACTATTCTTCAGTCAAAATAACATGAAGGATTGACTATTTATTATATTTCTCCAAAAATATAGATAAAGCAAACAAATCTCACAGAATTACATTGATGACGAAACTAATAAGCGGATGTTGATATTCAAAACTTGTCAGTACGCAGGTCCCGCGCCCTCAACATAAGATGTTTTACTTGTATTACTGCGCCAGGCAGAATAAAAATAAACAACTTAACATGCACACAAGAGATCCAAGTACGCACACAGTCGTTTTTATTTTACGGTTTACGTCGCGACTGTCAGGAATAAAGGCATTGGTCACACACACACACTCTTAAAGGGTATCGGAGTTCAAGGAAGCGTATCGGCAAAAAAAGAAGCGTATCGGCAAAAAAAATAGCGTATCGGGGCCGATACGCTATAAAGGCCTGGGGAGAACCCTGGATAAGCTGAAGCTAGTGAAGCTGACAATTTTTCGGGGCTTGTTGAACATATTGGGGAAAAAAACAAGTAAGGTCATATTGGGTTATTTTATATAAATATTCTGTTACCTTTCTTAACTGAGTACGATGTTAGAGCCTGCATGTAGCTATAACCAGCCAATTGCAAAGTAGGAAATAAGTAAAGTATAAGGGAATAGCAAACTAGGCAATAGAAAAGATTGTTGGACTAATGTGCCTTACAGGGAATCTTCACAACATGTTCCTACCATCCACCATCTTGAAAAAATTAATAGTGTACATCGTTTAATTGGGATGTTAGAGAAATTGCCTATGATTGGCTAATGGAAATTGTTAATGGACACATCACCGGTTTGTGGACTCGTGCTTGTATAAATTGTTCTTAATAAAATGTAGTGCATGTATGTTAAGCAATCTCTGTCAAGTGATACACGAAGCATTTTATGATAGACTGGCTTTTGATGACAGGAAGGTAAACTTATCCTTCTTTGCTATATACTTTGGTTGCGGATGTGCTTCTTTGTTTAGTATTCTGTCTCTGAGGATTATTCAACCGTACGTAATGATGTAATGAGTATATAATGGCAAGTTTTTTTCCTATCATACATCAGCCTTTCAATATCTATTGGTATTGAAGTCTAACATTTTCCACCCGGCTCTATGAACTAACAGCACAGCTCATATAAGCCAGCAAATGTGTCCTTGCAGCAGTCATAAATATTACAAAATAGACATTTATGTCGCTGGCTGCTCTACGTGCATGCACTGGAACCAGGCATTTGTTGGAGATGATTTGATTAATCCAAGGGCAGAGGAGCGTACAGTTAGGTAGGAATCAATTAATAGAGGCAGAATTTACATTTACTGGTTTATAATAGTTTTTGAAGTCTACTTGATTGGTAAAAAAAAATGAAACTGTGTGAAATTCTTAAGCCTGATAACGATTGTTTTTACTTATTGATTTGCAGAGTGAGGTAATGCAGTCAACCTGTTTATTTGTTGTCTTATGCCTTTTGAAACCAGTGTGTTCAGTCTTATTATAAGTGCCATGTAATTTAAAAAATGTTTATGTTATATTTTGTACCGTGTCTCAGTTTTGCCTGCTTTACTTATTCAAATATCATTCTTTATGAGAAGGACCAAATTAAATATTGAATAATGGCATTCATTTTAGTGAAAATGAAATTGTACTTGGATATGTGATGTCCATTAGAATAGTGAGTGACATTCTGATTTATACATGATTTACTAGAGTGTCTGTCTAGGAGTAACTTGTGACTTGACCCTGTGTGCAGCTCCTTTAAAATACTCATAGCAGAGTGTGGCTGGGAGGCATACATTACTGTATGGCCTTACCATCTCAGTGTGGCTTGTGCAATACAGGGTTCTATGCCAGATATTTCAGTCTGTTCGAGGACATATATAGACTTGTGGACCATATCCTGCCATTCTATACAACAAATTCTCATAAGACATATGAAACACGGAAATGTCAGTCTTCCAGATATGACTGTGGTAGCAGGTCCATGTTTCTTTTCTGTAAGGTGGAGAGCAACCGTGGCTTGATAGACTGAGATTTTGTAATGTTAGGTATGGATTTTTTTCTCTTTGCCATAAGGTGACAGCTTTCCAAAAGGAAATGCTGGCCTTACTACTAGGCATGTGGGCTTTTCCTTCTTTATCAGTGTTGGCATTTGTTTTGAGCAAACTTCAGAGATAAATGAAAATTTCATTTTCTTTTGGGAGATGGTTACCAATAGTTACTGGGTTTAAGGTGTTTCTTTCCTGGCGTGAATAGGTTCGGTTTAAAAAAGGATATTGACCTAACAATGTGCATTCATTTTAAACAAAGATTTAAATGGTTATAGTTGAGGAAATTACAGATACTATAAATAGGAAGAAAGAATATATATGTAATCAGATCCAGTTCAATACCCAGATTTACCTCCTTTATCATGTGGATTTTAAAAAGGAATTATATATAATGTTGCTTGGAAATATTGATTATTCTGAAGACATAATGGGAGTTCAGCCTTGAGATTGGCCTAGTTTTTCATGGCAGGTGGTTTTCTACTCACCTGAAGTTCATTGGAGTGATGGTTGGTTAATATTTTGTTGTTCTGAGGGAGTGTGAACATTACAATGGATGGATTCCCCCTGTCCCTCTGGTGACATAGAACAAAGACAGTAAGCATCATAACATGGAGATGTTTCCCAGTGACAGTGCTATATAATACCTAAGGCTGAAGTATTTTATTATTATTAGTACTATTTTATTTTGAGCTTGTATTATGGTATTCACTATCATCATGGCTGCTTGGATTCACATGGTTCAAGAAGAGAAAGGTTTGGTTATATCCTTAATCTCTCAATCTAAAAAAGCTGTCTGCTTGAAATGAGAATCAAATGGTAACTGACAGTCTTTGATTTAGCTGGAGAATAGAAAGAGTTTAGGGATTAATGTCATGTATAACAAGAAATAATTGATATCATTGATCAGAGAATAGACCAAAAAGAAGATTATAGGTGTTGCAACTGGTAGAAGGTGGTAATAGTAACTGTATGGTTTCTTGTCAAATTAATTTTCCTCTAATTACATGTTTAGAACGGCCACCAGTGAATTTCTGTGGTGCACAAATGAAATTAGGATTTCATTACATGAAAATTCATGATATGTTGTCATTCTGTTATTGTTTATTTATATTATTAGTACTTGGTTCGCAATAAAAAAAAAGTTCATGTACAGTTATAATTTACACAATCTACAGGTGTTATCACAGTTTCAGTGAATAAATATATTCTGAATCAATAAATGGTACATGGCATTGAAGTAAGGACAGATATTTGACATATTCTGGCATGTTAGTGAAAGTAAATTTCGCACATAAACTGCATATTATTATAAAGCTTCCTTTGAGGTTCATTTTACTTTACAAGTGGACAGGAAATTTTATTGAAATTTCTTGTACAAACTTATATTACTTTTTTTCAAAATATTGTGACCTGTAGGTTGTTAAAAAAAACCTTGAATGTAGAGATTAAACAACTCAATTGAGAAAGTTTTAAAGTGGGAATTTTAACTTAAGATGAATAATATTTACTAGTAAGTAAGACCTAATAAACAGTGAGATTTCCATTACTGACAATAATAAGAAGCACAAGCGACAGAGCCCTGACCTCCTTCCCTGCCCCAACCCTAGTCTTACTCTTTTCAAACTGAACCTCAATGAAAAATTGCCTCAAAATTACCCTGTATGGAAGAGAATACAATAGTAAAGCTTGCATCAGGTGTCATTTGGTGATGAAGAAGGTAATATATATGGTTAAAGGGATAATTACTCTTCGTATGAGATCTATATTTCCCAATAAAAACATTGTGAATAACTCATAGAAATATAATTTATTCTGTTTTACCACAAAAACAGCAGTTATAGCTATTAATCTGATATCTGAGCTTGTCTTTAGACCACGTGACCTCCATTGATGGCTATACTCTGTTAAAATCTCTTAGGAGATTTTAACAAATCTCTTAGGAGATTTTAACAAAAAACCAAACTTTTTAGAAAAAAAACAGGGACTAACTTTGAATGTAAAAATGGATTCATTAACCATTGGTAAGTATGAGAAAATTGTTGTTTACTCCAGGAAAATTCATTTTTTGGCCGAAACGAAGAATTATAATCCCTTTTATGTATTTTGAGACTGACATAGCTTCAGAATTGACTTTTGTAGAAGAGAAAATATGCAAAATAAGCTTATGGCATCTGAAGTCATTGCAATGTTGAGTGATATGATGCATTG